CGCTCTGTGTTCATGAGGGATGAGCTAGTGTGTGGGGTCCCTTCTTGTGACATTCTTGTGTAGACCTGGGTGGTTCCACATGATGTGGGTCCCCCCTTCCTGCGGTTGGGAGGAGCTGGTCTGAACCCTTCTCAGATGCTGCTCTGGCCTCTGTGGCCCCCCGCAGAGAAGCAGCAGGCGCGCACACTCTGGGTGGTAGTTCTCTTCTGGTTGCATTCAAGGGATTCTCTCAATAGCTGGGCTGTGACTGTCAGAGGAAAGCAGCCTCTAACAACCGAGGGGTCCGTAGGCACAATTGTGCGGCAATAATATATAAAGATCATAGTAAAGTCATAGAAGACAGGAGAGAAGATAAAGGAGTCAGACACATTTCATGGTAGCAGGCTCACCTCAGCTCCTTTTGGTGGTTCACGTGGAGGGGGAAGAAGAGAGAGTCTTTATAAGTAGCCACAAGACATGCGTATTCAGTAGTTAGGTGCGTCACAAGGTGGGTGGTGACCACAGTAAAGTCCCTGAGCTCACAGGTGAGGAAACCTAACACCTGCATTGGGAGTAGGTATGAAGGGGGATGGGTGCCGTGGCGGGAGGAGGAGATAACCAAAGAATGTCTGCTTCTACAGGGAGATAGAAGCAACCATTCAGGTAGCATAGCTGTTAGGGAGAATCTGTGGGAATGATATTTAAAGCAGGATCATGTACTTGCACTTTATCTCTAACTTAGCAAAGCATCTTTCCTACTGTGGAATATTAGCCTTCCAGATTCCCACTGTTGTAAGTCAGGGAATATAGTCCTCATCATATTTCCCTCAGTGTCAGTTTCCCACATAGGACGGCCCTTTGTGTTGGTCCTACGTGGTGTACGTGAGCTTTTCATAAAATCTGGAAAGTTTGGGGCGTATTTGCCCTGCCCTTTTCTCTCCTCTGTGGCACATGCTGCAGGGCCATCTGCTCCTCCGGTGGCTGTGTGGAGCTCCGTGTGGGCATTTAGTGTCCCAGGACGGCTGAACAGGGCTGGAGGGAGAGCCTGGCAGATGGTTCCAGCTGCCACTCCAGCCAGGCGTCTTCCTTGCACCTGCACCCGCTGCCTCCCTGTTTGCGGAGCCAACCACTGTGAACCCAACCACTGCCAGAGCAGCTTGGGGTCTGATGCAGTCTAGGATTCAAACCCACAGCCCCTCCCCCAGTAAGTAAGCGGAGGGCCCTGTGTGGCTGAGATGCATTGGGCAGCAGGCGGTGGGGAGGTGGTGCCTGAGTCTTGGCTGGGCGAGGAGAGCTCCAGGGGGTGATGGGGGAAGGCCAGGGGGAAATCAGGGGTGGGTGAAAGGACAGGTCAAGGGGAGGGCCAGGTGTGTGGTACAGGTGTGTGGGATATAAAAAGACTTTTCCCCAGCTTTGTCTCCCCCAAAGATATACCAAACATTAGAGGTTGTTTGCCAGCACATGGTGGGAGGTCAGATGCATTTCTGCCTTCAGAGGACTGTCTGGTCCCACCACAGGTGGAGCCCACCCCCTGCTGTTAAGGACAGTGGGTTACTTCTCCCTGAAGGCTTTCAGCTAACAGTCTGGTCCAATGTAGGTGGGGTTCACACCCTACTGATAATGGTTTCAATGGAGAGCCAGAGAACAGGTCAAATCTGCTCAGTGACGTCCAAAGTTAGGCTGCCATCCTGAATCTGGGATCCACCCATTTTGTCACATGTGTGCCCCCAATCCCTCCCCTTCCTACTGCATGTATACCTCTAGATCGTCCCCCTCCCATTACCTATAGCACAACCTTTCCTGTGAAGCATGCCTTTACCTTTAATTAGGGGGCTTGAATGCCCCCAAAGATATATAAGCCTTGGTTAGCAATAAAGAGCACCCCCCCTCTCCCAGTCCTCAATCCCCCATCCTCTCTCCCCTTGTCCTCCTTCCCCTCCCTCTCCTGCCCTCACGTCTCCCATCTGCATGTGGACCACCAAGTGGGGCTGAGGTGAGTATGCTACCATGAAATGTGTCTGACTCCATTATGTCAATATCTTCTATCTCTCATATTCTCTATGACTTTACTATAATATTTATTATACCCATACAAGCACATCTACAGGATCCCTGATGATTTGTTGGGGGCTGGCTCCCCTGACACAGGTGGGGTAGGGCTGGTGGGTGGCAGGTATGTCAGACATTGGGGCTGTCTCTGCAGCAAGACCTGGGTCTCTGGGTGGCACCCAGCCTTGAGTGGGCGGAGCATCGGTAGTCACCTCAGTAGGGCAGTGTGGGATTCCTGGGCTCTGATCTCTGCCCCGACACACCCAAGAGAGCTACAGAATACAGCCCTGCAGAGCACCTGTGACATTGCTGGGGACCCAGAGATGAGGAGGTAATGCCCAAGGTCCCTGCCCCACTCCCTACTTCCCCCACCCACCTGGTCCTGCCATAGGCTCAGCCCCTGAGCCACCTGTCCTCAGAGCTGGACCACCCAGCTCCAGAGCTCAGCTGCCCCGGCCCCAGAGCTGAGCCACCTGCCTCTGGTGCTGGGCCTGCTTCCTGTGGGGCTTCAGGGCCCGAGTGGAGGGCCTCTGTCCCCAGCCAGGAGGCTAGGGCTTTGGGCCATCTCCCCCTTGGGGAAGCTGTCTCCTTCCTGTGTCTCTTCTGACAGTGGTCACACTGGGTGGCCACCATTCATCCAATTCTGAGACCCTGGGTGCTTGTCTCCAAGGTCCCTGGGAACGGGACGGGAAGGTGAGGCACCAAGCCTAGAGAAGGAAGCTTGTGACTGTCCCTGAGAATGGACCTTGGGAAGACTGGGAAGAGAGGCGGCTGCAGGCTGGGGGCTGGGGAGTGTCACCTCGGGAGCTGGAGTTTGAGGCTCAGGCTCCTGCCAGACCCTGGGGTCAGAGGCCCTTCTCTACCTTCTGGGAGAGGGTCTCTCAGAGCCAAAGCCACCTGCCCCTCTCCTGAGGGTTTCCTTGGGGCCTCAGCTTGGATCAAGGGCCATGCCTCCCCTTGGTGGCCCCTTTGGAATTTGGTGCCCCATGTGCTATGGGTGGGGACCAGGCTGTCTGAGGGGCTTTCCCAGGGGTGGGGGTGCTGCCCAGGGGGCATGGTGAGGCCCAAACATCTGGGAAGTGTCCGCACTTGACCCAGCTCTAGGACTGCCTGTCTGGGTGGTCTGGTCATGAAGGAAGGTCACTGAGCTGGGACATGGACCTGCGTCAGGGCAGGTGGCCCTCTGCCCTTTGACCTCCAGAGTGTGTACACACAGGAGCCACACCTCCAGTGCTGAGTTACCAAGGGAAGGTCAAAGGTTCCTGTGGGGCTGGACTCTGGGGCCACCCCTCCTCCCACACCCTGTGGCAGGGCCAGAGGGTCCCAGAGGGATTTCCCAGCCTGCTTCTGGGGAGCCTGGTGAGAGGACATCAGCGAGGCGTTTGCCTGTGTCTTTTTGGCTCTGGGAAGACCTTCGGCTGAGCGGTTCAGAAGAAACTCAGGCAACATCTGGAGAATGGGGCTTCCAGAAAACGTCCTGGTGCTCAGACCAACCACACTGTACACAGACCAAGAGGCAGTTATCTGGACAGGACAAGGGGAGGCCGCATGGCCTAAAAGCAGGACGGATTGGAGCCTCTGTCCACACGTGTTCAGTCTGCATGCTGGCCCAGCACATCACCAGCAAAGCCGCACTGTGCGCAGGATGGCAGGAGGCTTGTTACCACGTTGATGGCTCCTCCTTGTTCGCGGGAAGCACTTGCCGGTGAAGAGCCGAGCGAAGCCGAGCGCAGCCTGCGGTGTGGCTGCATCTCAGGATGAAGAGGACAGACGCCCTCACGGGGCCTGGAGGCCATTCCATGATGCAGGTGGAGGCGGCGGGAGCCGAGCAGGATGTCGTTCGTGAGACCACAAGCACCAGCGGTGGAAGCAGGAAGGCAAGCGGCACAAGCCTCCGAGCCACTGTGCTGCACAAGAAGACTCCTGAGCGCTGAGAAGCACGCTGTCCTTGGAGGCCGAGGGGAGCCTGACCCCAGCTATGGCACCAGTTGCCTCAACTGCCCGTGACCTGCACAAGAAGACCCCTGAGCACTGAGAAGCACGCTGTCCTTGGAGGCCGAGGGGAGCCTGACCCCAGCTATGGCACCAGTTGCCTCAACTGCACGTGACGGCTGGACACTGAGTGAGGACGCCTGCAGGAGGGCCGGCGTGTCCGGTGCCGGTGCTGGGAAGGACATGCCATGGCTGTCTTGAGGAAATACAGCCACAAGGCTCCTTAGAATAGAGACAGTAAGACTTTGTCTCACACACTGTGGACATGGTGTCGGGAAGGCTGGACTCTGGACAGAGCCATTTTGGCAGAGCAGAGGTCAGTGAACAAGAGAAAGGTCTGAGAGGAGAGGGCTTGCCATGTGGCTGTCACAGTGGACTCCCCCACACAGCTGTGACCTCACATGACGATGGGGCTGGACCGGACAGGGCTTCCTTCCGATGTGCATGGTGTGACTGTCCATCAGAACCAGCTGGCTGGGAAGGCAGCTGTGAGCATGGGGACTGAGGACCCTTCACGGGTAGAGCTGGAACCCAGCCCCAGAGGGAGCAGCAAACACAAGGGCAGGGTTGACCAGGAGTCCACTGGGGTGCACAGTGTCCATGGGGACTCACCGCTCTGGTGGTGGGGAAGGAAAAGTGCCCAGTTGAGAGGCTGACTGGTCCAAGTCCCCTCTTAGATGGACCATCCCCCCCAAAGGCCTCTGTCCCTGTTGCCTGGGTGAGTGCCCACTCATTGGTCACCTTCAGCCCCAAGTGTGACTTCCTGTCTCCTCTCTGGCCATCCCTCGAAGGCCTGTCCCTGCTGCTGCTGACACACCCTCGTCGATCCCAGACTCAGCGGAGTCCCCACTATCCTCCTCCTGAACCTCCTGCCTCCAGAGCCCCCTCTCCACAGCCAGATGCCCAGCTGTCCTCTGCCTCCCAGGAACCAGCCCACCACCACGGTCCTCAATGCCACCCCTGGCTCCTGAGTGCAGTGCCCAGCCTGAGCACTGAGTGGAGTGCAGAGCACCTGGGCTCGTTGGCCGCAGCCCGCTTGGGGTCTGGGGCTCAGGCTGCACCACTTGCAGTGTCCTGGTCCTCCAAACTGCACGGAGCCCCAGATGCCACAAGCCTCACCCCTCTGCAGTCTGCAAGGGGTCACGGGCATCCTCAGAGGGGGAGAGGGCAGCCTCAGGAGTGGCCTGCCTGCCTCGGAGGCAGCCTCGGGGCAGGCCGAGTGTCTAGCTGGTTATCTCCTGCCAGGATGAGGCTGATGGACAGACCCCCCGACCCCCTGTTCTCTTCTCCCCCTCCCCCAGGCTGATCCTGGTCGTCGGCCTGTTGGCTGCAGTGCTGCAGGAGGCAGGCACAATTCTGCCTGCTCAGGTATGGGAAGGCTCTCCCCCTTTACCCTCTGGCCCCTGGGCATGGTCAAGGCGAAGCCTGTCTATGCCAGCCCCGACAGGAAAGGGGCCCCTCCTCTGCTGGGTCCGCTGGGCAAGCCCAGGTGACTTGTGACCAGTCCATGGGGGTCGGATAGGTGCACTCTTTTGGCCATACTAGGCCTGGGGGGTGTCCTATCCCTGCGTTACCCACTCTGCCCTGGGCTGGACCATGGGGGAGGGGCAGCTTTCTCACAGGTACACGGGGGCAGGGCAGGTGCCACATCCCATTGGACTTCCTGTTCCACCATGGCCCTCAGTCCCTAGCGCTGAAGAGGGGGAATCTGTAGGTGGGAGGAAACTTGGCAGAAGAGAGGAGAGGTAGCTTCAGGCCTCAGGTGGGTGGGTCCCTGGTTCTGGGGTCTCAGGCCTCAGGTGGGGACAGTTCCCCAGAGACATGAAAGCTGTGTCTGACTCGGTCAGCTCTGGGCATGGGCATGGCACCCCTTAGCCTGCCGCTGCCAACCATCCTTCCAGGACCCACACCTGGGCACATGCAGCATGTGGCAGGGACGCCTTGAGGGCGTAGCATTTGGAGCTGGTTCGACAGGAGTCTGCTGGGCACTCAGCTGGCATGGGCCCCTCCCCCTGCAATACTGGCTGCAGAGGGTCCTGACTGTCTGGCTGTGCTGAGCACCAATCCTGCCCGAGCCTCGTGGGCTTTGGACCCTCACCTGTGCCTTCCCCTCCAGGTCTCTGCCAAGTTCAAAGAGAGGGACCAGGTCTCTGAGCAAGACACAGAGGAGTAGGTACCCTTGCTCCCTGCCCTGGAGACCTGGGAGAATATGCTCCCATCCCCCACCCCACCCCACTTCCTGAGACCTGGGAGTATGTGACCCCTCCCCAAGCTCTGCTGGGTCCAGTACCTCATGGGGTGGGGTGGGGGCAGTAGTGGGCAGCACTGAGGGTTGGCCTGCTGGCTCTGAGCCATGACCTCAGCTCCACACCCACTGTCTCTCCCCCGTGGGACCTGACCCCATGTCCCCAGGGCCTGGGCAGTCAAAGCTGTGGAGCGACCAGAGAAGGAAGACCGGCTGGAGGGGCTCTTCCCCAGGCTGAAGTCCCCCACCGCTGCTGACACTGCTGAGAACTGGCATGGTGGGGAGGTGGTCTTGGGAGGTGCAGACAGACGGGTGGGGGGCAGACCTGTGAGGGAAACTGAGGCCATGACACCCCATGCCTGTTCTAGGTGACAAGGCCTGGGTGGAGGACCTCCTGAGTCGTGTCCGGAGCCCCCTCCAGGGCCCTGAGCCAGACCGAGACAGCCTCTACCATGCGGAGCCTGAGGAGGGGCTAGACATGGCGTCCTGGTCTCGGGCTCGGCTGTTCTTCCAGCTGCTTCAGGGCCCAGAGGAAGACCGGGACCACATCTACCACTCTGAGGAGCGCTGACCGCCCTGCATGCCCCTCCTCCCTCAGAGGGCCTGCTCACCATCTCTGTCCCCATGAGAAAAAAAATAAATGTCTGAAGGCAGAAGGCTATGTGTGGTGGTAGCCAGCCTGGCACTGTCTAGGGGTGGTGATGGTTTACACGAGCCAAACCTCCTGGGGCCCATGGAGTGCTCCTGTAAGAGGAGAGAGACCATGCTGGGTCCAAGGCCATCGACTGCCAGCTCCAGCACCCCCCACCCTTCCGATCCTGAATGGGATAGGGGTGTGAGCCTCTGGGGCCATGGCCAGCATCTGGGGCCAGAGGATGGCCACAAGGGTCCAGTCTGGGCTGAAAAACAGGGCCGGTACTGGGCCCACACTGTAGGGTCAGAGGTAGGAAGGATGTGGAGGAGGGAGGGCCAGGCTGGGCCAAGGGCAGGCTGAAAGCCTGAAATTCACACCCACCAGATAGGGCAAGCCAGTCTCTAAAACTGCTACCCACCATGAGGGAGGGAGCTGTACTGGACACCACAACACACACACATACACACATACCCCCACACCACCTCACAGGCTGCAGAGGGACTATGAGAAGTGTCCACAGGGCTCTCGTCCCCTACTGGTGAAAAGGTAAAATGCTACAAGTATTTTAAAGACAATTTGGCCATTTCTTAAAAAGTTAACCACACACTTCTGGTTGCATCTGGTAATTTTTTCCTCAGGAGAAGAGAGTATGTCCTTTCAAGATCTGTGTGTGAGCGCTGACAGCACTTTCACCTGTGAGAACCCTTGCCCCCGGGCACCTGCTGCTCCCAGTGCATGCTGGGAGTACAGGGCCCACCTCAGTAACCTCTCTGCCTGACAGTCCAGTTTAAAACATGGAAAACACAAGCTACTTTATCAAAGCAGAAGCCACTGTGGGGATCTGGGGTGAGTGGACCTTTCTGGGGTGATGGGCTCATTCCCTCTCTGGCTGGAAGGGTCCTCTCAGGTGGTGGAACACATCAAGGGTTAACACTTTCTCTCAATGTGTGCAGCTTATGTATGGACACCTCCAAAGGCCCCCAAGTAGTCAGTGACTAGAGTCCTAGAAATGCCCAGACAGCGGTGCGAGGGCTGGTGGCCCAGTGAGGGAGGAGTCAGGAGCTGCTACAGTGGGCACAGGAGCACAGGGCCACAGGCAAACACAGACCAGAGCCCCCTCTGGGCCCCAAATCTCTGCCCACCATTCTATGTGCCCTCCCGGCTCTGCTTCTTGCCCCCACCTCCCCTCGGAGTGTGGGTGTGGGTGTCCAGTAGACCACCCCCTGGTGCCTCAGTGCTGCCAGCTCTCAGACACAGGGAGCCTGGGGACGGTCAGCTCCCTACCTGTTTCTTCTGTCCTTTTGTCCTGGGGCCTCAGTCCTCTCTCCTCCCTGAAGGTATGGCTATCTGGTGATTTGGAGGGCAGTGGGAGGTCCCATGGAGAGCAGCCTGGGTCCAGGACAGTGGCCTAGGGGGCATTCCTCAACACTCTAGCCCCGTGGGCCCTTTCCACCTGGGTCGGGGCTCTGCGGGGAGCACCCTTCTGTGCTTCCCTCTGTCCCCCAGGACGACCCCGGGGTTGGGCACCAAGTCCCATTTGAAGATGGTGCAGTGCCCATGAGCCTCCAGCCCACGCTCCAAGCTGCACACCTGGGTGGCCAGTCCCCTCTCCAGCAGCTCAACACACAGGCACCGTGCTCCCAGCTCTTCCTTTCCAGCATCCAGACTCCCAGCTCCTACCTTAAGGTTCTAATCCTTACTGCAACCACCAGTGTCTGGGGCAGGGGAGGGGAGAGAAGGCAAGCACAAGCAGCCCTCATCCAACTCAGGATCCAAACTAACCCCCAGCCATCTCCCCTCAGAAGGTGGGGGCCTTCTTTCTACCTACACTGGCCAGCAGAGGATTTGTGTGTGTGTGTGTGTGTGTGTGTGTGTCTGTTTCTGTGCCTCTGGGGGCTGGCGGCACAGCATAAAACAAGTCTCCATAAGAACAAAGCTCTCTGGGGGATGGACAACAGAAAAGTGGGTGAAGGGAGATGTCGGACAGGGCAAGATATGACAAAATAAAAATTTATACATTATCAAGGGCTCATGAGGGAGGGGGGAACTGGGAGGGAGGGGAAAAATGAGGACCTGATGCCTGGGGCTTAAGTGAAGAGCAAATGTTTTGAGAATGATGAGGGCAATGAATGTACAAATGTGCTTCACACAATTGATATATATATGGATTGTGATAAGAGTTGTATGGCCCCCTAATAAAACGATTTAAAAAAAAAGAACAAAGCTCTGGTCTAAGTTCAGACTCCACACAGGAAGCCGGGCCACTCCATCCAGCAGAGATCAGGAGATGCCCTAGGCTCAGTGGCAAAACCCAGAGGCATAGCCCCCAGCTGCCCTGTGGGCCCAGGCGGGGCAGATGGGCTGGGCTTGTCTCTGTAGGGCTCACAGGGTGGCATCCACAGGTCTAGAGCAGGTCTTCAGGGGCCAGCACCCCTTTCTTCAGGATGATGTTCCCGTGGTGGGCAATCTCACTGCAAGAAGGGCCAGGCAGGTGGAGTCTTCAGGGGCCCAGCTCCAAGACGGGGCTATAGGAGTGGCCTGCCAGGACCATCCCTGGCAGGGGTAAATAGCCACTGCACTGAGACTCTGGGACAAAGAGGCGCAGCACCCTCCTCCAATACTTGGCAAATTCTGTTCTCAGTAAAATGCTGTCTTAGCCCCCTGCCACTCCCCCATCCTCACCCCTGGCCTGGGCTGCTCTGGAGGCGTGATCTCTGTGGAGAAGGGGCGGGGCTCGACACTCACCTGGTGGCCACCACAGCAAAGGCCATTTTGGCTCGCTCGTAAAACGAGAACCACTCCGTGGGCTCCAGGGGCTTCTGGAAGACAATCAGAAGTGGCTGCCACCTTACGGGGTCTGATCAGTCACCTGGTCAGTTTTGTGTTTGCAAGCCTCCTCTAGCAGTTTGGGCTTGGGCCCTCCCTTCAGGCTGGGGGCCAGTCCCCTGCACCAGACAACTCCAGCAGGCTGGGCAGACTCAGGAGGCTGGGGACAGGCTTCTACTCCGCCCTGGGTTCTTCCAGCACCAGTTTAGTTCCAGGGGCCTGGGGGGTGTGTGTGGGTGCCCACTAAGGGGGTCTGGGGATCCAGGAGCCCAAGGGCTCTGGGGAGACTGTACAGGAAGTCAGGAGAGGAAGGGTCCAATTCTTTTTAGAGCTGTGACCACCACCCTCCCGACACTCCAAAGGGCAGCCAGCAGACTGAGGCTCCCCGCTGTCCACCCCCCACAACTGGAGACCACTCCCTATTTAATAGGCAAGGTGGGTGTGGGCCACAACCAGGACTAGAGGTGTGTGTGTGGGTGTCCCAGGAACCCCCTCAGGTTCCACCTAGGGCCTGGCTAACTCCAAGGTGGGGCCCCACCCAGAAACCCCCAAACCAGGGTCAGCAGAGCCTGGGTCCCCAGAGAGCGCTCCTGGGGTTCATGAGGCAGTGAATACCCTAGGATGAGTAGGCCACACACACCCTCCTGCCCACATGACTCTCCCTCCTCAGCCCCAGGTGGGTGCAGGTGCAGAGGGAGGCTCACAGTGCAGCCTGCCTGGCACAGGAGGGTCATGTAGTCCTTCCATATCGGAGTGTGAAGGCTCCTGTCCCGGTCACTGGGTACCAGCTCCATGACTGTGGCCTGGAGAGAGTGCGGTCAGCTGTGCCCACTGGTACACACCTCCCCTCCCCACAGCACTCAGTCCGGGAAGCAGAGGGCACCGGACTCACTGGACTTGCCACGTAGGTGTCCAGTGGCAGCAGCTTCAGCATGGCCCCTAGGAGCTGTGGGGTGCACAGGTCTGTGGGAGGGGCAGAGTACTGCTAGGCCACTGCCCTGCCCAGCCACAGGGTGTCCTAGGGTGGCCGAGGCACCCGGGCACGCGATCCAGGGAGCAGGCCAGTGTGAGACGCAGTGGAAAGGTGGCCAGGTGACAAGGCATCTAAAGTCTGGGGCCAGGGTCAGCCACAGTCATTACAGTGACACTGTAGGACTAGCTTGGGTGGGAGGCCTGGGGTCTTAGTGCTCTGGGTCACTGGGGATCCCCCCAGGCAGGACATCGGGAGCTGTGGAGCAGGGGCAGTTCACCATCAGCGCGGATCTCCACAGGCCGCAATGGCACAGGGCAGAGGTGGGGAAGTTGCCTTCTTCAAGAACTGACCGGGAGGGCGGGTCAGCCGGAGCCACTCAACACACACTCGTGGTCAGAACCTGTCCCACAGGGCCTGGCCGACTCTGCGCTCCCATCTCCAGAGTCTGTCACTGTCGGGGCTGCATAACCGCCCTGTCCCCAGCCAGGGCAGGGTGCCAACGGGGTTGGGAAGGCTGGCGCTGTTCCTGGTACTCCAGGACAGCAGGTGTGTGGGGGGGACTAGTTGTAGTTGTGTGTGTGTGTGTGTAGGGGGCACACATGACATGACCTGGGTGGTCCCCAGTGCTGCAGGGCCCACTCAGGACCCTCAGACATGCTTGGATTAAAGGCAAGCACTTATGGCCAGCCATTCACTGTGGGGTCACCACTGTGGTCCCAGGGCAGGCTGAGGAGCCAACAAAGGGGAGTCAGTCCAGGCGCCATGAGCTCCCTGGGTCATAACAGAGGTGCTGTGAGGACGGCGGCAGATGTGGCTATGGGACTTGTGTGTGGAAGGTGAGAAGACCCGATGTGTGTGCACATGGGGGTGTGGAGGGCTCACTCATGTGGAGCCCTTGCTCTGCTCTGGCTCACTCACAACAGAAAACGGGAAGAGCAGCGCATGCGAGCTTGGTGAGACCGGCCGGCCACTCGCCTCCTCTGTGGGAGCCTGCCAGCGAGCATCCCTTGGCACAGGCCGGCCAGCCCCAGGTCACATGACCCCACGTGAGCAATGCGCCATGTGCACAAAGTCCCTGAAGTCAAGCACCGACATGTAAGCGCTCTTGAGGCCTGACACTCACAGCCTGAAGGCCCCATGGCGCAGCTGCAAGCCAGAGAAACGGGGGGCACGTGGCTTGTCAGAGGTTTATTTACTTCTGAGGCTGACAGGCGCCTCCCCTCCTTCCACTGAGATCTGAGGAGGTGGCCTTCTACTTGTCTTTGAAGTTGGCCTTTCTCTTCTCCACGAAGGCGGTCATACCTTCTCTGCGGTCATCCTAATGGGAGAGACATGGGGCTGGTGTCCTCCCATCTGGTCTCTGTCCACCCGACACAGGGCAGTGTTTGTGCCGCTGCGGCAGCTGCCAGCATGTGTCCTTTCTTTTGCATGCTGGCACACATGTGCGCACACATGTGCACACCCACTGTCTTCACTCTCCTCCAGAGCCCAAACCATATACGTTCAGTCCTGCTACAAGACACCAGAAGCTCAGCTAATGACCAAAGAACCAGGCTGTAGTGTCGAGAGACCACTGGCAGGGTCTTGGGGCAGAGCGCTCTAAAGTTCAGTTATGGTAACACGTGGTCACTCACTGTCATCGAGGCGATGCCGACTCACAGTGACCCTACAGGACAGGGCAGAACTGCCCCTGTGGGTTTTGGAGACAGTGACTCCGGATAGAAGAATAAAACAGGAAGCCCGTCCTTCTCTGGCAGAGCAGCTGGTGGGTTAGAATTGCTGACCTTGTGGTTAGCAGCCCAATGCACAGACTACACTACCAAGGCTCCTTACACAAGGGTAAAGGGCTCTGCATTTCAAACCCAGGAGCTTGCCCACGGGCAGCCAGCTGTTGGGGCTCCCATGTGAGACCTGAGCTTCAGGGACTGGCCCGAGGGAGGAGGTGCTGCGGTCCGGGTCAGAGGGAATGCCAGGGGCTTGTTTGGGGAGGGCCGTTTACTCACAGTGGCAAAGGTTGAATAGAATAGCTTCTTCTCCAACTTGTTTCCTTCTGTTAACGTCATTTCAAAAGCTGGGAGAGAAAATCTGGGTGTTAGGAGCTGAGCTGGCAAAATGGGGCTCTCACCCCCCTGCACCCACCACCCAATTCCACTGGGATCTGAAACATTACAGCAACCCCATTCTTGCTCCATTTTCCTGCCTCCTTGGTTCCCACATCTTCCAAATCCCCCACCGAGACCACCTCAGAACCAGCTGCTGGGGTGCCCCTGCCCACAGAGGCGTGGCGGTTAACTGGTCAGGCTGGGCAAGGCCTGGGCCCTCATCCTGAGAATAAGCGGGTCCACAGACAGCATGTTTTTAATCCACATATAACTCCAGTGGCATGGAATTAAGCCACAAGGTGCTTTCGACCAGCCCTGCAGACAGGGCCTATGGAACATGCGGAGTGTGCGGGTCTGGGAGCCCTGGTGGTGCGGGGTTAGGGCTGGGCTGTTCCCCACAAAGCCAGAGGTTTGAACCATCTGCTGCTCCCCAGGAGAAAGATGCAGCTGTCTGTCCCTTTAAAGAGTGAGTCTGAAGCCCACAGGGACGGTTCTGCTCTGTTCTTTGGGGACACCGTGAGTCGGAATCGGCTTGAGGGCAGTGGGTTTTGAATATACGCAGGTCCCCTAGCGGAGCGACGTCACAAACATCAGCTGCTCCAACTTCAGGCCCCAGAGGTGACGGAACTCGCCCGAGGACACATTCACGTTCCAAAGTCAGTGACCGGTCCATACACACCGGGATGGCAAATTTTCGATCACACCACCTGATCGAACACAAATGAGATGGGGGCCTGGGCAGATGGGAGCTGGGTAGGTTTGAGCTCTTGGCTGTCAGATGGACAAGACAGAATGAAAAGTTTCCAGATGGACAGAGCTGACTGTCCCCACATGCTCACAGCACATGGGTTCAGAAGGTTGTTCTACTGGGATGGACGCAGGATGCGGGTCCTGCCCTGGGCTGCAGAACACCCCCTGCCCCTGGTAGAGCTCTACCTGCACTGACTGACTCCTTGGCCATTGCCACCACGATTTTGGAGTTGCTGGCGATTTTTTCCGCACACCGGATGGCTTCCTCAACCAGGGTCTCCACAGGGAAAACCTTGCTCACGAGACCTGGAACAGAGAAGGTGGGTGCCATGTTGCGGGGGCACTGGCATCCTTCCGCTTCAAGGCGCCAGGGTCCCAGGGTCCCCAATTGGCCAGTCAGCAGGCCTCTGGCCATCCTCTGCCATGGCCTTCACAAAACTCCCAGGACAAGGTGGGAGGCGATGATGGAGACCATGGCCCCCTTGGGAGCGGGCCTGATGCGGAACCTGCAGGAACCTCGAGCTGTTAGTGGGTCTGGGTAGTGCAGGGTGCCCTGCACCTTGTGGGTGTGACTTAAAAACGAGTGCTGACATTTCTGATTTGAGTGACTTCAAATAGAAATTTAAAATGCCATTTTGAGTTAAACTAAGACATTCATTTGTACTTTTCTAAAAGCCCTGTCTCCTACACACCTTACTTTTAAGAACTTTTCTCGGTCAAAGTGCTCCTGCTTAGAAAAACTCAGGTGGCAGGGCTTCCAGCTCTCTCTCAGCCAGGCAGAGCTGCTGTCCTTTGGACCTGGGATCTCCACACCGGAGACAAAACGGGGCCACCAGGGATGATGAGCAGCAGCAGGAGACCAAGGTGAGAGGGTGCCTTGGGTGTGGACAGGGGGTAGCTGGCGGGTGGGGCACCTCAGGAAACTTACTGAGTAGCTAGAACTCAGGAACAGGCCAGGCCAGCCCAGGAGGACCAGGGAGAGGCTGGCCATACGAAAGGTTGAGAAGAGGTTGTCTTGCCTGAAGAACTGTGTCCTGAATCTTTCCTGGCCCTGAATTGTAACCTGCTACTTCCTTAATAAACTCCTAACAGTGAGTGTGGCCCATGAGCTATGTGTGGCTGTTTGATGAAGCCAGCAAAGGAGCAGAGAATGGGAGGGGAGGGGCAATTGGTGTCGGAATTAGTGGTAAGGTTGGGCGGGTACGTGTCTGACCACTGCCTTTTAAGAACTGGGCGGGGGCTGTTGATCTTGATTCTTCTTCCCCAGGAACGTCAGCAAGAAGGTCTGATACCGCCCCCCCACACCTTTCCTTCAGTGGTGTGCCTGCTGGTTCCTCTGTGGTGTGGGATGGGATGAGCGAGTGACAGCAGCAGGCAGCCCTTAGCTCCTGCTCACCTGCCTGCTTGGCCTCCTGGGCTGAGATCCGGTCACCGGTGAGGACCATCTCCATGGCCAGCGACTTCCCAACTGCCCGAGTGAGCCTCTGTGTGCCCCCGGCACCTGCAAGGACCCCAAAACCAGTCAGTTTGAGGTACAAGCTTGTCCTGGCCTGGCAGTTCTCCCACACTCAGCCACTTGTCCATGCCCCACACCCACACCTCTCTTTGGTTAGTCCATCTACTTTCTAGAAATCTCCAGCACTTGCTGTCCTGGGCCTCTTCCCAATAGCTCCTGGGCAGGGTCAGACTGCACAAATGCTTGCTTGCTGTGCTTGGGCCCGCCGGCCTCCAGAATCTGACCTCAGACGTCAAGGGCAGCAGGGGCAACCCTGAGAGAGGCTTGCTCGCATCAGTGTGCCCCACAACCCTCCTGGCCCTTCAGAAAAGGCTTCCAGGCTGGAGCCAGACTGCCCAGGTGGCACCTTCCCACCATGCCCATCCCTTGGCCCAGAGGGTGGCTGCTAAGGGTACCGGGCTCCACACTCAAGTCCTGAGCTAGAAGTCTGTCCACTCACTGCTGGACACGGTGCACCTGCAGGGGTCAGCACGCATTCGGGGGAGGCACCTGGAAGGACCATGTTCACAGACAGCACCTGCTACCTGGGATGGTTCCTAGGAGGATCTCGGGCTGCCCAAATTGCGCCTTCTCCCCTGCGTAGATGATGTCACACATCATGGCCAGCTCGCAGCCACCACCCAGCTGTGGACACAGAGCCCAGTTAGAGAGCTGCTTTGTGGGCTCAATGATGTTGCTGGGATGAGACCCACAGGCAGGCTGGCCACGGGGTGTGGCTCTCGCTCTGTGGTCCCTCGGCCCTGAGTTCTGTCGAGTGAGGGGCTAGTTTGGAGCTCTCCCCTCATCCTCCCAAAGGGCTGGCTGCGTACCAAGAACACTTGATTTACCACAGGAGGGATATGGGATCTGGCCATAGGCAAGTGCTTTTTGGACTGCAGCCCTGAGGACTTAAGCTCACAGGGGCACAAAGGGCCAAAGATCATGAAAAATTAGGATGACCTGGGGGCGGTGAGTGCCTTGGGGAACTGGGGCAGCCAGCATAGGGACCCAGAGGTGTAGTTGCTGGCCTGGAAACCACACTCAGAGTCAATAGAAACCTGGCACTTTATACACCCAGGCTCCAGGCCCAACCTGTGGGGGAAAGTAGGGTGCAGTACAGAGGGGCACCTTACACACCCAGGCTCCAGGCCCAGCCCGTGGGGGATTTGGGGGGCACAGAGCGGCACTCACTGCATAGCCATTGACGGCCGCGATCACGGGCTTCCTGATTCTGGCTACTCGGTCCCAGTGGCTGAGGAACCCAGCGGAGTAACAGTCCTGGAATGTCCGGTTCTGCATCTCCTTGATGTCAGCTCCCGCTAGGAAGCAGGCACAGACACTCAGGAGTCCCCAAGTGTAGGGCCCGCCTATCCTTCAACACCTGGTGGACAGGGCGTCAGGTACACCAAGCGTATGCAGCAGTGCTGCTGGTGGAGGCTGGCTGCACACCCGTGCGCTTGGCTGTGGACATGCTCTTTCCCAGCCAGCAGTGTGCCTCCGCTGGCACTGGCCCCACGTACTTTCCCCTGGCACACCCAGGGGCCCAGGCCATGCCTGGCTCCCAGAGGTGCCAGCCTGCCCTGCACTATTCCCTCCTGCCTACCGCCCATGCCCCCTGTAGCCTCCCCACCTGCAAAGGCCTTCTCCCCGCCCGTGAGGACGATGGCCCCCACAGCCGGGTCCCCTTCGAACGCCTCCAGTGCCTGGTTCAGCTCCACCACGAGGCTGTCACACAGTGCGTTCAGAACCTTGGGTCGGTTCAGCTGGATTAGTCCCACACTGCCGCCCTTTCCTGTCTTCTCCATGGTGATGTACTCCAAGTTGCCACCTGCCAAGATGAGGTAGAGGGTACTGCTCAGTGGAGCCCCTGCCTGCCCTCGTGGCTGTGGTGCTGCCTGGGGCCCACAGTGGGTTTTCTGTGCTACTGGCTTCACCCAGGGCTGACTGGCACAGGTAGTCACCTGGCCCTCCTGCTACAAACATGTCACACCATGTGTCACACAACCATGCACTCTTCTTCCAACAGACGTTGGTGAGGGCAGTCGGGTGGGGGGCACAGAGTGGCAGGGCTAGCCCAAAGTGGGCAGTCCTGAGATGGAGTCGCCAGCTGAACCATCCTGGGGGCTGGGGAAAGGCTTGAAGAGAGAAGAAGTGACAGTGGGCAGGCGGCAGCAGGTGGGGAAGGAGACAGGCTGAGAAGACATTTGCAGTCTGTATCTTAAGGCCAGGAGATGACCACCGCCATTCCCCTTAGGGGCGGAGCTGAGGGGTCTTCCTGGTCGGGCTGGCCCAAGGTCCCTCCAGCACGGCGTCCACGCCCCAGGAACACTAGGGCGGGGTGTGGAGGCGCAAGTTTCCATCACAGACCCACGAGGGGGTGAAGGGGCGCAGAACACGTGGGGTGGCCACACGAGGGGATGACCCCACCCGGGCCTCCCTTCCCACAGGGCTGGGGCGCTCTGGTCGCGGGCGCTGGAGGACGCCGGGGTTAAGGCGCGGTGCAGGCCAAAGTGAGCCCTGGGGTCAAATTGGCGGTCTGTGGCCACCCGTCCCGCTCACCCGAGGCGAAGGAGCGCAGCATCGAGCAGCTGGCCCGGGGCCGCAGCGGGCCGCAGACGTGGGGCAGGAGGACACGCAGGGTGGCCATGGCACAGTCCCGATGCCTAGCTGGCACTGCACCTCCCCGCGGAGCCGCCCCTCGCCGGCGCCACTCCGGGCTCGCACCGCCCCCAGGCCGGCTATCGCGAGACCACGGAGGGGCAGGGCCGACGCCGGGGGCGGAGCTACACAGCGAGAGCCAGGTCTAGGCTGGGGGCGGGGCAAGAGGGCCCAGAACGGGCTCGAGGCTGGGGGTGTGGTTATGTGAGTCGGGCGTAAGATCTACTCAGGGGAAGGGCTGCGAGGGTTTAGCGGAGCAATGGAACCTGCTGCGGGCGGGCCTTCGGGGACCCGGAGCGGGATCCTGGCTGGGGATAGGTTCCGGAGTCAGAATCGAGGTTGGGGTTGGCTTACGCGAGGCCGGGTACGGGATCGAGGCTGGGTGCGGAGCAGGGAAGGTCAAGGGCCTGGAACCAAGGTCAGGCTGCCAGTTGCAGGTCAGGGGCGGGAAGGAGGCCCCTCGATCGTGTACGAAGGGCAGGGCCAGGGTCAGAGGCGAGGAAAGTTGCCTTCGTACTAAAGGGTCGTAGGCCGTGGCCCAAAGGGCTCGGGCCAAGCCCATATCCTTCAGGGTTCGTGATCCGAGGAATGTGAACGCAGAGACGGGGCAGGGGATACCGTATGGCCGCCAATCCTGTGGAGGGCAGTTGGGCAGAACTCCCATGCAGTATTCCTAAGAAACCGGACTAGCTCAAGTCTGTTGGGAGTACCTGGGGCTCCTCAACCCAGAGCTCCCGTCCGGCCGCCTCCAGAGCACACAGCCCCGGGTCAAGCTTGGGTTCGATGCGCCCAGGCCGTGCTGTCTAGCAAGCCTGCTAAAGACAAGGTAGGGGGTTCAAGCCGCGGGCTCCTCTGGAGAAAATGAGGCGATTTGTTCCTGTAAGAGTTGAAATCAACCTGCTGGCAGTGAGCTTGGGTTTTAAGGGCTTGGCGGTTGGAACCCACCAGCTGCTCCCAGGACGAAAAGTACCGGAAAGAAAGACTTGGTCTCGGAAACCCGCAGGGGAGCTTGTACTCTGCCCTAAGCTGAGCTACGAGAGGACGAGAGTGCCTGCCTCCATGCACACCACCAGGAAAACCAAATTCACAGCGACCCTACAGGACAGGTCGAACTGCCCCTGTGGGTTTCCGAGACTAACTCTTCACGAGAGGAGAAAGCCCTGTTTCCCCCTCCCAGTGGCCGGTGGTCCACGACGCCTCCAGGCCATTCTAAGGCACCCGATAATCCATAAACCTAAAGTTCCCCGCCTCAGAGGGCGTCTGATGCCTGGGGAGGTTCTCATTTGGACGCTAGAGGTAGACAGAAACGGGAGAAACATTTGGGGGACCGACTGCAGGCATAGGCACGGCGCGCTTTGCCCACTCGCAGTCCCGTCCTAGCACTGGCACTGTGAAGCCGCATGGGGTGCGCCTTCGCTCCAACAGAAACGTGCAGAAGAAAGAGGTTCAGGGATTTAGCCCACTAAGAACATTTAAAACTCAGATTTCTAAGTCCAAGCCGCGGGGAATCTCTCAGAAAGCCAGGCAAAGGGAGACGGGAAGAAACCGCAGGTCCAGTGAGGAGTGTCGCACGTCCGGAGGAAAGCGTTCCGGGAAAGCCAACCGCAGGCTCGAGAGTCGCTAAACAACAGTTGCTCGCGCGCGCGCGCGGGCAGTGAAAATCGTCCCTGTAAGAAAGTCGCCGTGTGAAACTATGATCTGCGCTGGAAACCTTCATTCGTCTAATTTAAAGTGAAAAGTTAAAAAAACACAATGGAAAAGGCTCCCGGCGCCATGTTGCCCGGCCAAACTGAGCGGTGAAGACTGCGGCAGGCTGGAGGGTGCTGGGTGGGGGAGGGCGGGCCTGGGATCCCGGTAACCCACGACCCGGTTCCCCGGACCTCGGGCTGTGTATTACACCCGTCTCAGACGACCCCAGGAGCCCAGGTGGGGCTGCGAGTTAGGCACTGGGCAGGCCCAGGTGTGGTTTTGTCGTGCGTGGGGCCACTATGAGCTGAGGCCCAGTACGGACACCTAACAACATAAGCTGACCCGTGGAGACCCACCCCACTACCCCGAGCCCTGCAGCCGCCGGGCCCGTGGGCCTCTCAGGGGACTTAGAGCTTGGCGCCCTGACCCTCGGGCGAAGGAGTCCGAAGGTGAAGGCGCTGGCTCGGCTTATCTGAGCCCGGCTGTGGGAGGACTGGGGCGACCGGCACCACCTTCTCGCCGCGCCCCGGCCTCGTGACCCCTGTCCTCGAGCTACGGCCAGGCCGCAGGGGAAGGACTGGTGCCAGCGGGTCCGCCATGTTTCCCCGGACCCGCCAGTCAGGTCGGCCCTGAGGGCCCCCACGCCCCAGCTGGCCCCGCCCACGTGGCCCCGCCCCGCGCTCCCTCGGCCCCGCCCCGCACGCCCCCGGCGCGCATCCGACATCCAGAAGTGACACGCCATGCGGTCAAGTTCCAGTGGCGGCGTAGCGGAAGCCCCGGGCCGCGGGTCGCGGGTGCTGGTGGTGGGCGGCGGCATCGCGGGTCTGGCTGCCGCGCAGAGTCTCTGCCGCCATCCGGCCTTCTCGAACGTGCGGGTCCTGGAGGCCACCGCCCGCACCGGCGGCCGCATCTGCTCGGAGAGAAAATTCGGTAACGGCCCTTCCCTCGGACTCCGCCCCGGAATCCAACTGGCACTGGGCTTAGCCTGTGCTCCACCGCCAACCAGCCTGGGGCTGAGCTGAGCTGCACCCCCAGCCCCGTGCCCATCTAATCTCCTTGACTTACTGGGTCCCCAAAACTCAGCTACCTGACCTCCACATTAGCCAGGCCCTGGAGAAGGAGGGAACCCCGCCCCTCCGGAAGGGAGCTTACTCTGCCCCCAACCCGGCCTGTCCTGGGAGCTCTTGCGCCCAGGGGCCTACCTTCTTGGGGTAGAATCTCAGATGATGTCTCTGGCCCTTCCAGGTGGTGTGGTGGACATGGGTGCCCAGTGGATCCACGGACCTTCCCAAGGCAACCCGGTTTTCCAGCTGGCTGCCCAGTATGGGCTGCTGGGGGAGAAAGAGCTCTCCGAGGAAAGCCAGCAGTTGGAGGTGGGGGGACACCCGGGCCTGCCCTCCGTGTCCTATACCAGCTCAGGCCGCAGCGTGAGCCCGGAGCTGGTGGTGGAGATGAGCTATTCTATGCCCTGCTGGACCAAACGCGGGACTTCCTGTATTCGGCCCAGACCCCTGTCCCCAGCGTGGGCGAGTTCCTCAAGCAGGAGCTCAGCAGGCATGTGGCTGACTGGCCTGAGGACCAGGACACCAGGAAGCTCAAGCTGGCCCTCCTCAACAGCCTCTTCAACCTCGAGTGCTGTGTGAGCGGCACCCACAGCATGGACCTGGTCGCTCTGGGGCCCTTCGGAGAATACACCATGTTTCCTGGGCAGGACTGCACCTTCAAGGGGTATGTGCCTATGGGCCCTCACCCACCTCGAAAAGCCTCACTCTAGCAGCCATGAATACCAGGCTGCCCAAGGAACCCAGGCCTGCTCCTCCCCCCTCCCCTGTGCACCCAAGGCCAATCCATCTCTAATCGATGGCTACCCTCCTCTTTCATGTCCCCAGTGCTGCCCACCACCTCCACCTTGGTCTTGCTAGCCTGGGCCCCTGGCTGTGGGGGCCTGTTGGACTCGATGGCCACCTGTGTCGT